GGCACAGGCACCGGGCCTGCTGTCCCCAGGATCGTCCTGGGTGTCCCCAGGGTGTCGCTGAGAGCCCAAACCAGGGCACCAAACCCTGATGTCCCCAGGGCAGTCCCCAACGTCCCCAGGGTGCCATGGGGTGGTTCCTGACATCCCTGGGATGTCCCCAGCCCCGTGTCCCCATCCCCAGCCCCGTGTCCCTGTTCCCACGATGTCCCTGGGATGTCCCCAGCCCTGTATCCCCATTCCCAACCCGGTGTTTCCATCCCCAGCCCCGTGTCCCCATCCCCACGATGTCCCCACAATGTCCCCAGCCCCATGTCCCCATCCCCAGGATGTCCCCACAATGTCCCCAGCCCCGTATCCTCATCCCCAATCTGGTGTTTCCATCCCTGTGGATCTATCTATCCTCTGCAACACATCCCCAACCCCATGTCCCTGTCCCCAGGATGTCCCCATCCCCGTGTCCCCATCCTCAGCCTGGTGTCCCCGTCCCCAGCCCCACCTCCATGATGTCCCCACGATGTCTCCAGCCCCATGTCCCCATCCCCAGCCCCGTGTCCCCATCCCCGTGGTGTCCCCACGATGTCCCCAGCTCCATGTCCCCATCCCCAATCTGGTGTTTCCATCCCTAGCCCCATGTCCCTGTCCCCAAGATGTCCCCATCCCAGTGTCCCCATTCCCATCCTGGTGTCCCCATCCCAGTGTCCCCATTCCCATCCCAGTGTCCCTGTCCCCCCCGGTGTCCCCATCCCGGTGTCCCCGTCCCGGTGTCCCTGTCCCCCCCGGTGTCCCCATCCCGGTGCCCCCATCCCGGTGTCCCCATCCCGGTGTCCCCATCCCGGTGTCCTGTCCCCCCGGTGTCCCGGGTGTCACTCACCGCCCCTCCAGAGCGGGGACCGTGCCGAGCCGTGCCGGGCGCGCCCGGAGCCCTTCTGCCGCCAGGGCTTGCGGCCCCCGCCCCGCACCTCGGCCCGGCTGCGCACCCGCGCGTGGCTCTGGGGACAGCGGGGACGGCGTCACCCTGAGACCCCCGCCCACTGGGGAGCCCCCGAGAGCTCCTCGGGGCACCCCAGGACCCCCAGAAAGCTCCTTGGGGCACCCCAGGAACCCCAAAAGCTCCTTGGGGCAACCCAGGAACCTCAAGAAGCTCCTCAGGGCACCCCAGGAACCCCAAAAGCTCCTCGGGGCACCCCAGGAACCCCAGAAAGCTCCTCGGGGCACCCCAGGAACCCCAAAAGCTCCTCGGGGCACCCCAGGAACCTCAAGAAGCTCCTCGAGGCACCCCAGGAACCCCAAAAGCTCCTCGGGGCACCCCAGGAACCCCAGAAAGCTCCTCGGGGCACCCCAGGAACCCCAAAAAGCTCCTTGGGGCACCCCAGGACCCCCAAAAGCTCCTCGGGGCAACCCAGGAACCCCAAAAGCTCCTCGGGGCACCCCAGGACCTCCAAAAGCTCCTCGGGGCACCCTAGGACCCTCAGAAAGCTCCTCGGGGCACCCCAGGAACCCCAAAAGTTCCTCGGGGCACCCCAGGAACCCCAAAAGCTCCTCGGGGCACCCCAGGACCCCCAGAAAGCTCCTCGGGGCACCTCAGGAACCCCAAAAGCTCCTCGGGGCACCCCAGGAACCCCAAAAGCTCCTCGGGGCACCCCAGGACCCCCAGAAAGCTCCTTGGGGCACCCCAGGAACCCCAAAAAGCTCCTCGGGGCACCCCAGGACCCCCAGAAAGCTCCTTGGGGCGCCCCTGGAACCCCAAAAGCTCCTCGGGGCACCCCAGGAACCTCAAGAAGCTCCTCAGGGCACCCCAGGACCCCCAAAAGCTCCTCAGGGCACCCCAGGACCCCCAAAAGCTCCTCGGGGCACCCCAGGACCCTCAGAAAGCTCCTTGGGGCACCCCAGGAACCCCAAAAGTTCCTCGGGGCACCCCAGGAAGCCCAAGAAGCTCCCTGGAGCCCCCAGAGGCTTTTTCGGGCTCAAGACCCTTCCTGGGACCCCCCCCAGCACATTCTGGGGACAGTCGGGGGGACACTGTCACCCTGAGACCCCCACCCCATTTTCCACACCCAAAGCCCCTTTTTCCCCCCCAGATGCCCCCCAAGCCCCCTCCCCACGCTCACGATTCTCTTGTAGTTCCTCTGCCACGTGGCCACCGTGTGCAGGATGTCCAGCCTGGGGACAGGGGGACACGGGGGACACTCGCCCAGAGCCACCGGGGGTGTCCCCAACGTCCCCAGAGCTCCCGGGGGTGTCCCCAACGTCCCCAGAGCCACCGGGGGTGTCCCCAGCGGTGTCCCCAATGTCCCCAGAGCCCCCAGGAGTGTCCCCAGTGTCCCTAGAGCCCCCCAGAGTCCCCAGGGGTGGCCCCAAGGCCCCCATGGATGTCCCTGATGTCCCCCAGAGCCCACAGGGGTGTCCCCAACGTCATCAGGGGTGTCCCCAACGTCCCCAGAGGTGTCCCCAGAGCCCCCAGGGGTGTCCCCAATGCCTCCAGGGGTGTCCCCAATGTCCCCAGAGCCCCCAGGAGTGTCCTCAACATCTCCAGGGGTGTCCCCAAAGTCCCCAGAGGTGTCCCCAGAGCCCCCAGGGGTGTCCCCAATGTCCCCAGAGCCCCCAGGAGTGTCCTCAACATCTCCAGGGGTGCCCCCAAAGTCCCCAGAGGTGCCCCAGAGGTGTCCCCAGAGCCCCCAGGGGTGTCCCCAACATCTGCAGGGGTGTCCCCAGCATTCCCAGAGGTGTCCCCAGGGGTGTCCCCAAGGTCCCCAGAACCTCCCCCAATGCCCCCAGAGGTGCCCCAGGGGTGTCCCCAGAGCCCCCAGGGGTGTCCCCAAGGTCCCCAGAGCCTCCAGGGGTGTCCCAAACACCCCCAGAGCCACCAAGGTCCCCAGGGGTGTCCCCAGGGGTGTCCCCAGTGTGCCCACCGGGGGCTGACGCCGAAGACGTCGGGGTGCAGGTCAGCCAGACCCCTCAGGGCGTCCTCGGGGTGACGCAGGGACCCCACCCAGGCCTGCAGCGGGGACAGCGGCGGCACCACGGGGACGCAGCAGCTCCGCAGCACCGGGGACGGCACCGGGGACAGAACCGGGGACGGCGCCGGGGGTGACACCGGGGGCTCCTCTGGGGACAAGGGGACACCAGTGGGGACGGGGGACACTCACAGAGCACCGACAGCCAGGTCTGATGTCCCCAAACCCCCGTGGTGGCCCTGCCCGTGATGTCCCCACCACCACGGCCACCCCCTCCCGATGTCCCTGGCCACCTTCTGCTGTCCCCAGCCCCTCCTCGATGTCCCCAGTGTGTCCCCAGCCCCCAGCATCATCCCCAACTTTGTCCCCAAGGTGTCCCCAGCCCCTCCTCGATGTCCCCAGCGTGTCCCCAGCCCCCAGCATTGTCCCCAAGGTGTCCCCAGCCACCTCCCGCTGTCCCCAGCACATCTCCAGCCCCCAGCATTGTCCCCAAGGTGTCCCCAGCCACCTCCCGCTGTCCCCAGCACATCTCCAGCCCCCAGCATTGTCCCCAGCATTGTCCCCAAGGTGTCTCCAGCCACCTCCCGCTGTCCCCAATGTGTCCCCAGCCCCAGCATCATCCCCAACTTTGTCCCCAAGGTGTCCCCAGCCCCTCCTCGATGTCCCCAGTGTGTCCCCAGCCCCAAGCATTGTCCCCAGGATTGTCCCCAAGGTATCCCCAGCCCCCAGCATCGTCCCCAACTTTGTCCCCAAGGTGTCCCCAGCCCCTCCTCGATGTCCCCAGCGTGTCCCCAGCCCCCAGCATTGTCCCCAAGGTGTCCCCAGCCCCTCCCTGCTGTCCCCAGCCCCTCACTCACCCCTGCGGGGCTCGGGGGCCGCGGGCGGGGACGGGGGCACCGTCGAGAGCTGCGGGATGGGGACATCGGGGACATCATTGGGGACATCGGGACATCATTGGGGACATCATTGGGGACATCGGGGACATTATTGGGGACATTGGGGACATCATTGGGGACATTGGAGACCTCATTGGGGACATCATTGGGGACATTGGGGACATCATTGGGGACATTGGGGACATCATTGGGGACATCACTGGGGACATTGGGGACATTGGAGACCTCATAGGGGACATCATTGGGGACATCGGGACATCATTGGGGACATCGGGGACATCATTGGGGACATCATTGGGGACATCGGGGACATCACTGGGGACATTGGGACATCATTGGGGACATTGGGGACATTGGAGACCTCATTGGGGACATCATTGGGGACATCGGGGACATCATTGGGGACATTATTGGGGACATTGGGGACATTATTGGGGACATTGGGGAACGGCCCCGCTCCCGGTGCCGCTCCCCGCCGGTTCCTCCCCGGTTCCGGCCCCATTCCCGGCCGGTTTCCCCCCGGTTCCTGCCCCGTTCCCGGCCGGTTCCCCCCCGGTTCCTGCCCCGTTCCCCCCCGGTTCCC